CTGCTCTATCTCGGCATTTACCTTTCTGCCACGCATCCGTCTCCGCCGGAGAACTGGCTAGGTTTAGAGGGCAGGGTGTCGGAGCGGCTCCGGAAATGGACAGGACTGCTCCGGTGTCTCTCCCTTCGAGGGAGAGCACTGGTGCTCAATCAACTAGTCCTGTCCATGCTCTGGTACTGGCTCAACACCCTGGTCCCAGCCCCGGGTTTCCTGGCCAATCTCTGGACGTCGATTCTGGAGTTCTTCCATCTTCTGCCTCCAGGCCCTGCAGAGACTCCTTGGTAGTCCGGCGTGGAGCGTATTGGCGCACGCCTTCCTGCGCCGCTTCTGAGGGCTCCAATATGACCGGCAGCTCCTTTGTCTCCATCCAAGAGGTCTTCCGCGAGACCTCTCTGGGCTGCCGGTCTTCTACCAGGACCTTCTCCGGACCTGGAAACTGTTCTCAGTGACCAGGTCCGTGGCGGCCACCGTGGGAGCAGATCTCCTCGCGGAGCCCCTGCTACACAACCCCCAGCTCCGTGTGCAGGTGGCGGAGTCCCCCATGGTGCGCCAGAGGTTGGTCCTGGCAGAAGTCACCAAAGTCGGAGACCTCCTGGACTACGACCGGGGAGACTGGCTGGATCCCCTGATGCTCGCTCGGTGCATGGGGCTCTCCAGACCTCGTACTCCCCGGCGCGTCCTTCAGGAGGTGAGGGCCGCTTTGCTGCCCGCTGCTCAGGACTATCGCGACCGGGTCCTGCGAGAGGGCACGCCCCGCCCACCCTCCACTCCAAGCCCTCCAGACTTTTTCATCGGGCCCCTGCCCCGTGGACCCAACCGGCCCTCTCCCCGTCCCTTCACCATGAGCCAGCTGCACAATCTGCAGCCGGTTCTGTTCCGGACCGCCCCAAGGAAACATCTATACACGCTCGTGCTCCATGTTCTTCATGTCCTCACCCTCGCATCCCGCCCCGATACGAAGTGGCGGGACCTTCTGCCACCCCTGGAGGGTGAGGAGCCCCAGTGGGCCAGCCTTTATTCTATTCTGATCCCGAAGCCCACCGGGGACATCAGTTGGCGGCTCCTTCACAGAGCCGTGAGCACGGGCATGTACTTGGTGCGGTTTACCCCTATCCCAGACACCTGCCCCTTCTGCGGCGTGAGGGAGACCCTGGCGCATGTTTACCTGGAGTGCTCCAGGCTGCAGTCCCTATTCCGGCTCCTCACGGATATTTTGTTAAGATTTTGGTTGCACTTTTCTCCTCACCTTTTTATTTATGCACTCCCCATCCATTACCCCACAAAGTCACGGGACCTCCTGGTCAATCTCCTCCTGGCCCTAGTGAAACTGGCCATCTATAAAACCAGAGTGAGGAGGTTGGCCGATGGAGTCTCCTGTGACTGTGAGGACTATTTCAGGTCCTCCGTTCGTTCACATATCCGGGCAGAGTTCCTCTGGGTGGCATCCACTGGCTCCCTTGATGCCTTCGAGGAGCAGTGGGCGCTGTCCGGGGTTCTCTGCTCGGTGTCCCCGGCTGGTTCGCTTTGTTTGACCCTTTGACCTCACTCCTGTCTCTGTTCTTTTATTAGTTGTCCCCCGTAATTTTTTGGTCTCCTGGTCCTGTGGACCCCCCCTTAGGCTGGGGGGGATCCTTTAGCAGGGGGCGGGCTTCACCCGCCCACTTCCTGGATCCCAATAGGATCAAGGGGAAAGAAAAGGCATGGAGCTTCCTTCACCACCAGACTCCATGTCACCTTCCTCACAACTTGAATAAACTTTACGTTGAGGGTAAACTTGAGAAGAATCCATTCAAAAGTTCACTGGACTATAAAAGAAAGGGGCAGAAAACCCCAACTTATCTCTCTCACCAAATACAAAAAAATTGATACTTTGGGCTCCTGACTCAAGGGAAGGTAAGCCATTTTGCTGGAAGACTGTGAGGATAAATGGTATCTTGAACAAAGGCTGTATGTTGCTAGTTTAAGTTTTAATTGCTAGAAGGCGTTTCACTTTAATTTGCTAATAACCGTTCCTAACTTTATCTCTTATACTTGAACTCACTTAAAATCCTACTTTCTTTGGTTAATAAACCTGTTTCAACTTTCAGCAAACAGTGCTGTGTTTGAATTAAAGTGAAGGTTAACTCCAGTGAATGTGGCAAGTTGTTGGGTTTTGTCTCTTTAAAGGTGCAAACAGACTGTATTATTTCTCTGAACGTTGCAGAAGAGGACTGGACATTACAGAGCAGACAGGTTTGGGAAGGTTCACGACTGGGGGGTGGGTGTTGAGGTCACCTGCTAACATTAACCAAGTCTGGGAAAGATAAGAGTGTGTCTGTGATAACTGCTAGATTTAAAGGGATTGAGTCAGAGCTGTACAGAATACAGAACATGGAGTGCATGCTGGTTGCTGGCTGTGTGTGTGTGTCCCAAGTAGGGAGCCAGAGGCAGCAGAAGCATTTTGAGGCACTCAGGGTTATAATACAAGCAGTGACACAACCTCTTACTGGTCTGAATCGCACCCTGAAGTGCGACACTAACCATCTTCACTCAGACTAAATGAAAGAAATAGTTAAGTTCCTTTATGGAGTAAGATAGCTGGAGACAACCGAGACCACCATCCAAGGCACTGAACTGCATGCTAGGCCAATCAGTAGCTAAGCCACGTGGGCTGGGGGGTTTCCCTGGGGACTAGGGCTGCAAGTTTTGGTTGGACGTATTCCTGGAATTTTCATCACATGACAATCATTCATTAAAGATTAATCTTTAATTCATGGGGACTCCAGGACAGTCCTGGAGGGTTGGCAAACCTCCAGGGACTGATTGTAAATGGAGGTGCTGGGACATTGATTTGGCTGTAGATGAATGTGAAAACAAATAGAAAGCAACAGAAAGCTAGCAAAGAAGGCAGAGG